GCATAAGACCCTATTCACCCCCCCTCTAGGGTTCTTTCCTAGTGGCATTAGGGTCTAACATTCTTGAATGGTTTGATTGACTCTTTGGCGCAAGCCGTACCACTTGTACCAACGCTCTTCGAGAAAACCTACCGGATAGAATTGCTTTCTAAGTAGTTCTTTGAACTTGTTCCATGACACCACCTTCCGTTCTTGCTTGCAATAGGATTTCCACCACGTCAACGCGTGCCCCGAAAGCTTCAAAGTCAAGAACACAATCTTCTCCTTGGATGAATATCCGTAGAGAGTAAAATACATCTCCATACGCTTGATCCAATCATCAAGCCTCTCGACGTTGACACTTTTATCATAAACAGGAATTTCTACCTTGAAGCCTATCTTCAAATTCTGGTAAGAACCCTTACCCCTTGGTGTGAAATAGACTTAACAATACGGGCCTCCTCATCTGAATCAGAATCCTCGCCTTCTCCATCAGACTCCACAAGTTTCTTCTTACCTTTCAAAGAAGATTTCTTATTGTTTCCTTTGTCTTGGACAAGATTGACGAGTTGCACGACGGTGGAACCCATTGTCTCCATCTGCTTCTCCAATGTATCTAGCCTTGCTGAACTATCTCCTTTAGTCATCTTCTTCTTTCTTAATTTCTGGACTCCTTCCAATGAAATAAGGATCTCGCCTAACTTCTTGTATTACGATCGAGTCAGGATCATACACAGGATGCCCCCTCTACTGGATCTGATCGCTCTGATACTAACTTGATACGAGTCGTCGTGCGAGCACATTTGATCGCAGAATTATCAAAGGTGGGTTGAGAAGAGGATGACAGAATACAAGAACAATTTAGTATGTGCCGAAGGAAAATACCCTCTCTAGATTATGAGTATGAAAAGATTACAATCTCTCTCTCACAATCTCACTAGAATGAAAAGATTACAATCTCTCTCTCACAATCTCACTAGAATCGAGAACAAGCTCTCAATTCTCTCTAAATCCTAATCTCTCTTGATTAGAATCTTCGAGAACAAGCTCTCAATTCTCTCTAAATCCTAATCTCTCTTGATTAGAATCTCACTTTGATTACATCTGATTCATTAGAAACCCTAAAACAATCCCTTATATATATGTAACAACGTGGATGGCAAAGTAGTAAATAACCAAGCCAAAACCCCCACAGGCATTTGTGCAAACAGAAACCCAAACGAATTAGGAATCCTTTGATGAGTCGACTCATGTGCATATATGAGTCGACTCATGACACATGGGTCGACTCATACAGTGATGAGTCGACTGGTCAAAGACTTTTGAGAAAACGGCTGAGTTTCATGAGTCGACTTATGACAGGCATGAGTCGACTCAACCCGATGAGTCGACTCATGACTGTTATGAGTCGACTCACGGGTTAAAAACTGGATGCTTCGATTCTTTGATTCGCCGTCTCGTTTCACGCTTCAACCTGCGTTCTACCGTGTTGTTTTACACCTCTATTCTCATGCTATTATGAGAATCATCTATCCTCAAGCTCCCATGAGGATCGCTAAGTTCCAAAGAGAAGATACACCCGTATCACTTGTCATACCAAAAACCTTGTATTCTACATACAGAAACATTCTCCCAAGACCCATAGGCATCAATGCACAAGGAATGAGACTTATGTGCACCTTTTTCCTTCAAGTTGGATTGAAAGCATGATTAGAACGCTAGAGAAGCTACATGAAAAAAATTAAACAAGTTTTTGTGGTGTGGTGGTATGTCTACCTAAGAACAAGCCTAGTGATGGAGCAGAAGTTACAGTTAGACAATTATGAGCAAGTCAAGATATTGTAGTAAAAACAGAGGGCAGTTCACAAATACGTAGTCCTACCATTTTAAGTCATGTGCAATAACCAAATGTGACTGAGGTGCGTCTTCAAATTCTCCTAAAATCAGAACGAGTAAGAACAAAATGATAACTTGATAAGGTTTGCTGCATCAGGTATCAATCTTTAGGCACAAAATGAACCAAACCTCCAATGAATCACATGCCCAAAAGAAATTCTGACAAACAAGTGGATTTGATTAAACATTGATATACTAAATCTAAAAGGAAAGACACAAATTTTCTATTTGCTAACATAATCTCAATTATAATTTCTATTATGCACTTCAGTTTAACCTAAATCCAGTTGTCATGAAGCTTGAAACCGCCTATTATTCTGGTTGTGTTCTAGGTGGACCATCAATAGCTCCTCGTCATGTTTTATCTAGCTATGTAAATTATTCTACCTTCCAGTTCATCGAGATATTATCTTCATACAAGGATGTCAACGTCAATAAGTTCTCATCCATGCAAGATGCCTTCCACGGATTTATAGACAAGGCAAGTGTTAGGTCTCATGTTTATGAGCCTACATCTCAAATCTTATTTTGATGATTTACAAACAATCCCTAACATTGTTTGTCTAGTATTTATATTTGCTCATTAGGTATTCTAGACAAACATCAAAGTTGAAGGTTGGTTGGATTGAGCTTAACGATGATATTCAAATGAGGTTGGTGGAATCGGAATGAAACTAATATAATTCTAGTCAAAGATTTAAGATCAAACTTCATCCGCAAAGCAAACCAAGATGAGCTACATTGGAGATCAATCAAGCTTGGGTATATTGTTTATAGTGTTTGTAGTTTAGGTTTATACTTTGTGTGTTTAATACTCTAAGCTTAATATTACACTCACACATCATTTTTATTTCTTTCAAGTTTAGCCACATGAATATGGAATAAATGGATATATTCATATACACACATATTTGTTTCATGTTTATATATGCTTGAAATAATCTTATTAAAAACAAGTTTTAACAAGTTCATGTCTGTGCATGTTTTTGCAAAATAGATGACTTTTCACATATGGTAAACGAAATTTAAAAAATTATTTTTCTAACATATTTCATTACATGTTTATAACCATTTTCTAAAATTTTATCATTTTTAGAGTTGATTTACTATGTCAAATTGATTTTACAAAATCGGGTGTTTCAACAGTTTTTAGAATCTAAAATATCTATATTCAAATATTTATTTCTCACAAATAGAAAGCTATATTTCATAAATTATTTCTCTAACATGTTTATCTACATTCTTAGAAATGTTACTCAAAATTTTATGATTTTTGGAGTTGATTTACAATTTTTAATTAATTTTACAAAGCTAGCTACGCATATTTTCAAAAGCTGCTGACATTGTTAAAACGGCCGATTTAGACTGATGAGTCGACTCAAAAGTCCATGAGTCAACCCATGACAGTCATGAGTCAACCCATGCCTGTCATGAGTCGACCCATAAGGTCTTTTCAGCCTGTAACGACTAGTAACGGCTAGTTTTTATTTTTGGGGATTTTGTGGTGTTTTTGTGGGTTTTTTGGCTAGTTTGAGAGGCTATAAAAAGCACACTTCTCTCTTTGTTTCTTATGGATATTTAAGGGAGTTTTTCACAAGTTTGTTTCAAGTTTCCAAGTTTGTTTTAGTTGATGCAAAAAGAGGTTTACAAGAGAAGGAGATCAAATTCATTTTAGGCATTCAACTTCAATTCTCACTTCAATTCTCTCTCTCTCTCTCTCTCTCTCTCTCTCTCTCTCTCTCTCTCTCTCTCTCTCTCTCTCTATCTTAGAGAAGTTTTCTTGAACTTTTTTCTTCTAGCTAATATTATTTTGATTCTCATTTCATAAGCTAGAATTATTTTAGTTTATTTTATTTATTTATTTTTCATACACAGCCTATTGAGCTTAAGTATTTTACACACATAGTATACTTAGGTTGTGAGTGTGATTAGTTGTGTGAGCTTACATTAAATTCTCATCTATTATAGAGAACAAATCTTTTTATTTGTGCTTAATTGTGAGATACACCTTGTAATATACTTGTACACCGAGAGGAGTGTGTAGTGAGAGACATAGTCGATTCCAAGAGGAGTGGCGTCGGTAGTAAAGCCTAGGAGAGGTTGTAAATCCGAGTACTTAAGGAATGCGACACGAGCTAGACCAACACTTAGAGGGTGTAGAGTGTGATTGCAAGAGTGTAAGTTATGAAAGTTTTCAGTGAGCTAGAAACCCAAAATTGTGAGGTGTAAACTTTTTGGGTGAACGTTGAAAACCCATTGTGATAGTGGATTCTCCCCGGGAGTGGGGAGTGGGGAGTAGGGAGTGGGGAGCAAAGATGTAGGTCAGAAGGACCGAACTCGGTGAACATCTTTGTGTGTTTGTGTTGATTATTTGCATACTATCTCATTTGTATTTTAGTTTATGTTTATATCGCCCTTTGTTTATATTGGATATTCTTGCTCATAATTAGTTGTATATTATACTTGTAAGAATAAATTGTTAATAAGTTTTAAATTGGTATTAAATAGGATTAGATTATCACATTACCCTATTCACCCCCCTCTTGGGTAATTTCAGCAAGATAATCTCTTTGTCATCTATGAAATCACAACTTAAAGCTCATATTTTGAAATCCCTTCGGATAATTAAATTTGCTTAAGAACTCACCACTTCGTTATAATGGGATTTCTATGAAATCACAACTTAAAGCTCATATTTTGAAGGGTGTACAGTACATAGTATATTATCTGCACTCATCGGTACATATATTATAGCAAGACTATAGCTGCCTGTAAGTATATGCAAAATCCAGACATAATAGTTCAACAAATCAAAGTATCCTATGGTGCACGAGTGTGGGCATTAAAAACATGGATGCAAGAAGATAATACACATAAGCACATCAAATTCAAAAAATAAGATAGAAAAATAAAATCAAAATAGAAGTATCATGTTTAATGTGTGTCCGAGGTGATACTGCTTCATGGTATATATGTTCATGTCTACAATTTAGTGAGTAAATATAATTGCACAAATTTTAAGTTTAAATGTACAAATTATAAACTTGAGTAGGAAATTGAATGTCCAATTCTGCACCTTCACACCCACACTATTTCCAACAAATAAGTGCAAAATTAGTTCATACCTTTGGATCGCATTGGTTTGGAGGAACCTGGAATTCAAGAAGGCTTGTGCTCGTCAATGCTATGATCCACAAATCAGGCCTAACCGTTGTATACGTAATGAACCATATTTTAGTTTGTATTAATGTAGATACCTGTATATGATACATATGTTAGCAATATATATAGTACACACAACGCTGGTTTAAATCAAACGACATATACAGCGCATTCCCAGAACTCGATCAGGTCATACATTATGAATCTTTTCAAAAGTGAGATACGAATAAGTTAATATAGTAATTGTAAAAACGGTGACGAAGTTTAGGAGAAAATCCAGGAGAACAATCTCCAGGTTTCACGGTCGACCGTGCATGGCACGGCGGTCGACCGTAAACATGCACGAAATAGGAGTATGCCTCTGGACTTTTGATGGTCGACCGTGATGGGTTCGGCGGTCGACTGCGTCCAAACCCAGGAGACACAAAAGTCTCTAGACTTTTGGCGGTCGACCGTGATTTGGGGTTCGGCGGTCGACCGCGTAGCGGGTCTCTAGACTTTTGGCGGTCGACCGTGATTTGGGGTTCGGCGGTCGACCGCGTAGCGGATATTGGGCTGTTTTGTTTCCTGCTCCGTTTCTAATTAGGTTTTGATATATATTAGAAACACTCGTTTCTAGGGTTAAGAGATGATAGTTTTAACAGAGATTTGAGATTGTACTGAGCATTGTGAGAGGGAGATATTGTGAGCAAGGAGAGAGCTTTGATTTAGGGTTTATATGAGTGATTTTGTGAGATTGTAACCATTTGTACTCTCCTTAATTTAGTAGAATCTCCACATCCTCTCCTCGTGGATGTAGGCAAATTGTCGAACCACGTATATCTTAGTGTTTGGCTTGATTTGTCGTATTTTGGATTGGATTGTGCTCGTGTTTGGTTTGGTTATCTTCTCCTGTGACTCGCGAACTCGTTTGGTGTGCGAGCATGCTTCCGCAAAGGCACACAACAATTGGTATCAGAGCTCAGATTTCAGATCTAGGGTTTTGGCATTAGGTGGAGGAAGATTCGTCGTGAAAGCTTGGTTCTTAGAGTTCTAGGCTTTGGTGGAGATAGTGTTTGGGGTTGCCGTTGAAGATTTCGCTTTCCTCGTGTGGTTAGGAGATCTATTTTGGAATCCATTTTAGGGTTCAGTTGGGTAACTTCTAAATTCTATTAAGTTTAAATTTTCCTCTACAATTTGGAGTTTGTGAGTATGGGTGAAGAAGTTGGTGAAAGCAACAAGATGGCGGGTACGTTCAAGTTGGTTTTCAGAACACTAAAATTAGTGTGGTTAAATATGATGGTAAAATCAATTTTGGTTTGTGGATGAGTGACGTACAAGATGCGTTTAATGCTCAAAATTTAGAGGACACCATCATGGTTCATGAGAGGCCACCAAAATATGAAGAGGCGGTATGGGAAAAGATAAATAGGAACGCTTGTGGAGTGATCAGGTCCTGTTTGGAACATAAGCTAAAATATGATGTGATTGGGGTGACGTCTGTAATGAAGATGTGGGAAATTCTTAATAACAAGTACCTTATGAAGAGTGTTAAGAATAGATTACACTTGCTGCATAGGTTATTTAGATTTCAAATGTCCAGGGGCATCTCACTAGCAGTTCATGTGAACAACTACACTAAGTTGTTGTCGGACTTGGCGAATGTTGATGAGAAGATATCAGATGAGTACAAGATGATTATTTTGTTGGGCTCCTTACCGGACGAGGAGTATGATACCTTTATGCTTACTTTATTGAATGAGAGATCTTCTATCAGTTATAGTGAAGTAACTAATGCTTTGACGAACTATAATTTGAGGAGGAAGGACAAGGAGACTTTCCGTGCTAGTACTTCAGGAGAGGCCTTGTCAACGAGAGGTAGAAGCCCATATCTGAGAGGTGGCAATAGAGGCAGGTCAAAGTCGAGAGGTCATCACCAGTTAGTAAAGAACCAATGTACATTCCGCAAGGAGCACGGACATTAGAAGAGAGACTGTCCAAAGCTTAAGGAGAAGGAGAATGACAAAAAAAAGGACCAGAAGGCCAATGAGGTAAACGTTACGAGAGACGATGATTCAGATGATTCAAGCTTTTCTCTACTGATTACTCCGGAGGTGAACCACTTGGATGCATCAAATTAGATGCTTGATTCTGGCGCTACTTATCATGTTACTCTTAGGCGAGATTGGTTTGCATTATTTAAGAGACTCGATGGGGTGTTGTTGTCATGGAAAATGATTAATCCTGTGGTATTTGTGGGATGTATACCATGAGGATTCAGATGTATGATAGAGTAGTCCGTGAATTGAAGGAGGTAAAATTTTTTCCTTAGCTGAAGAAGAATCTTATCTCAGTTGGAGCTTTGGAGACGAAGGGATTTAAGGTGACATTTGAGGATGCTATAGCAAAGATTACTAAGGGATATTTGGTGATGATGAATGGAGTTCACAGTTGGTACTTATATTATCTAAAGGAGAGCACTGAGATTGGCAAGGTAGTTTTAGCTATTTCAGAGGCGAACATGAGAAGACTTTGACACTATAGGTTGGGGCACACAGGAGAGAAATCGCTGCAGGCGCTGTGCAAGCAGGGACTATTGAAGGAAGCCAAGAGAGGAAATGTTGAGTTTTGTGAGCATAGTGTACTTGGCAAGAAGACGAATGTGAAGTTCGAGACTGTTATTTATAGGACGAGGGGCATCCTAGATTACGTGCACACAGATATTTAGGGTCCCACCAAGACTGCATCACTTGGTGGTCGACATTGGTTCGTCACGTTCGTTGATGACTATTCTAGGCGTTGTTGGGTGTACAGCATGGCAAAGAAGAGTGAAGTCCTAGATATATTTGTGGAGTGGAAGAAGAGATTGGAATTATAGACTGGGAGAAAGATCAAAGATGTTATGATCTGACAATGGTGGTGAGTAAACATCAGACCCTTTTCAGTAGCTATGTCGAGACAAGGGCATAAAGAGACACTTCACAGTTAATCACACACCGTAGTAGAATAGGGTGGCAAAGAGGTTAAATCGGGCTTTGCTGGAGAATATTCGATGTTTGTTGGCTCATAGTGGTTTGGAGAAGATCTTTTAGACTGAGGCACTTTTATATACGAGCCACCTCATTAACAGGCTGCCTTCATCTGTGATTGAGGGGAATACCCCTATGGAGATATGGTCGAGAGAGCCAGCACATGACTATGACCAGCTCAAGATATTTAGGTGCCCTGCATACTATCATGTTAAGACTGATAAGTTGGAACCTCGAGCTAGGAAGACCATATTTATAGGATTCAAGCGTAGTATCAAGGGATACAAGCTATGAGATCTAGTTGATAGGAAGATTGTGCTGAGTAGAGACGTCACGTTTGATGAGGCTTCTATCTTGAAGCTTCCCATCTCTTATCAGGTAGAGAGTGACCCGACGGAGGAGATATCGCAGGTGGTAAAGATCAATGTAGCTCCACATTGTCCAGATAGTACAGTATCCATTAGGGTACCGACTAAGTTGATGCTAGGCGAGCACGATAGTGATTTGAGGGATACGAGTACAGATGTACAAGGTCCAAAACCGACAGCTTAGGTTCAGGATTCTATTACTGTTCGGAGACAGAGGAGAGACATACGGATGCTAGCATGTTATACCAACACAGTAGTTGCATACGCACTTTCGGTAGAGAGTATCGATGAGTTGGTGCCTACTACATTCAGAGAGGCTGAGCAGAGTTCGAAGACTAATTCATGGCAGGTAGCTATGCAGGAGGAGATTGAGTCTCTTCGTAAGAATGATACATGAGAGCTTGTTGAGCTTCCAAAGAGGCGGAAGGCGATTGGTTACAAGTGGGTATACACGAAAAAGGAGGTCATTGAAGGCACTCCTATGAGGTTCAAGGCTACTAGGTTGGTTGCGAAGGGCTATGCATAGGAGGAATGTATTAATTATAATGAGGTTTTCTCTCTAGTGGTAAAGCATTCTTTGATTCGGATTTTGCTAGCTTTGGTAGCACAGTATAGTTTGGAGTTAGATCAATTGGATGTGAAGACGATATTTCTTCATGGTAATCTTGATGAAGAAATATATATAACTCAACCATTAAGATTCTGAGGTGCAGGGAAGGATAAGTTGGTTTGCATGTTAAAGAGATTGTTATACGGTTTGAAGCAGTCTCCTCGACAATGGCATAGGAGATTCGAGGGATTTATGACCGATCATTCATACACTCGGAGCCAGTTTGATCATTGCGTGTATTTCCACAAGTTCGAAGGAGGTGCATACATTTATTTGTTACTTTATGTTGATGACATGTTGGTTACCTCTATTTCTAGGTCTGCTATAGATGAGTTGAAGATTCAGCTCTCAAATGAGTTTGAGATGAAGGATTTAGGTGAGGCTAAGCGCAGTTTAGAGATGGAGATTGGCAGAAACAAAGAGAAGGGCAGAATTTGTTTGACACAGGTGACTTATTTGAAGAAAGTTCTACAATGGTTTAATATTATCATGGATACAAAGCTAGTTAGTATACCTTTGGGAACCCATTTGAAGCTTTCAGCTGACCTTTCATTGAAGACAGTTGAAGATAGAGAGTTGATGTCGAAAACTCCATATACGAGTGTAGTTGGGAGCTTGATATATGCGATGGTATGTACGAGGCCAGATTTGTCACAGACGGTGAGCATGGTTTCTAGATACATGCATGATACAATAGTGGGTCATTGGGACGCCGTGAGATGGCTTTTGAGGTACATTCAAGGTACGCTCAATGTTGATTTGGTTTTTGAGTGGGACACTATATGTGGGCAGTTGTACATTAGATATGTTGATTTGGATTATGCCGGGGATTTGGATAAACACCGGTCTATGATGGGGTATGTGTTCACTTTGACCCGTGCGTCGTTGTACTGGAGATGCATCTTACAGTCAACGATGACTTTGTCTACGATGGAGGCAGAATATATGATGATTACGGAGGTTGTGAATGAGGCTATTTGGCTTCAGGGACTTTTGGAGGAACTTGGTATATTACAGAGGGCCGTCACTATTCATTGTGATAGCATGAGTGCTATCTATTTGGTGAAGAACCAGGTTTTTCATGCGCGGACGAAGCACATTGACATTCATTATTACTTCGTTCGGGATGTTCTTGAAGAAGGCGATGTGAAGATTGTGAAGGTCCACACGAAGGATAATCCGGCGAATATACTTACTAAGGTGGTTCTGAGCAACAAGTTTGATCATTATCGAAACTTATTACACATTTGTGTTTGTTGAGGCCGTTGACGGCCATTTGGATGAACTACGGGGGGCTTGATCCCTTGGGAGAGGGGGTACGTAGGCAGTCAATTTGATGCAGCCTGTTTGATGTGATGATACTAACATTTGGAGATTGTTCGTATTCTCATTTGGGTTCCTGACTTGTTGTGGATTGAGTCTGTTGATGTGGGTTTATTCCACTTCGTACTAGACATAACAAGTGGGACATTTTGGTTGGTATTGGTGTCGGCTTAGTTTTGGGAAAACATTCGCCGAGGTGGAGAATTATAAAAACAACGACGAAGTTCAGGAGAAAATGTAGGAGAACAATCTGCAGGTTTCACGGTCGACCGCGCATGGCACAACGGTCAATCGCAAACGTACACGAAATAGGAGTATGCCTCTGGACTTTTGACGATCGACAACGATGGGTTCGGCGATCGACCGCATCCAAACCCAGGAGACATAAAAGTCTCTGGACTTTTGGCGGTCGATCGCGATTTGGGGTTCGGACCGCATCCAAACCCAGGAGACATAAAAGTCTCTGGACTTTTGGCGGTCGATCGCGATTTGGGGTTCGGCGGTCGACCGCGTAGCGGATATTGGGTTGTTTTGTTTCTTGTTCTGTTTCTAATTGGGTTTTGATATATATTAGAAACACTCATTTCTAGGGTTAAGAGAGGAGAGTTTTAACAGAGATTTGAGATTGTACTGAGCATTGTGAGAGGGAGATATTGTGAGCAAGGAGAGAGCTTGGGGTTTATTTGAGTGATTTTATGAGATTGTAACCATTTGTACTCTCCTTAATTTAGTAGAATCTCCACATCCTCTCCTCGTGGATGTAGGCAAATTGTCGAACCACGTATATCTTAGTGTTTGGTTTGATTTGTCGTATTTTGGATTGGATTGTTCTCGTGTTTAGTTTGGTTATCTTCTCCCGTAACTCACGAACTCGTTTGGTGTGCGAGCATGCTTCCGCAAAGGCGTACAATAGTAATTGTACCACTAATAAAACTATTGTTGTAATACTATACAAACTATATAAAGCATTACTTTTGAAAAGGAAATGTACCTTGTTTTTCTTATTAGTTGATCTTAATCTTTATACCTAAAAAAATAAAAATATAAAGTTAGTAATATCTCTTATGCATTTGTTCAAGGTGGTAACTGTTCGATTTTATACTGAAGACATATAAAAGGTCATTGATTTTTATCTACAAAGAAACACCAGATAGACAACAGCCAAAAAAATTGTGAAGCTTTGAAGATGAAGTAATAAATTTGAAAATCGTATCTTATCATAATCATAATCATAAATCATAAATAAATTAAATTGAAATATCATTGATACAGTAGACAAAATTGACCACACATAGTTAAAACACAAAACCATATCATTTATAAAGTCGATGTTAAAGAAACATAAAGAGCTAAACATAAGTTCTTTGTCACATCATTTAAGCTGATAAGAACTTCTAACACTATGATTCACAAAATCATAGACCTAGATTTATTTTATTGACTTGACATTTATTTTTCTAAGACATATCTCAACTCATTTTTTATTCTCCTGATGAAATTTCTAGATAGCTACAAGAATGCACATAGCTTCAGTAAACAATTTATTTGTTTCTTCTTCGTCTTTGATCTTAGCAGCAAAAGAAACATCAACTTCAGCAGTAGTATGAACATTTTTGCTAGGGACATAATCAGGATCTGAATCCTCAACCTTTATTTTTTTTGTTAACTTCGTAAGAGCTATCCTCATCATCATCATAATACTCCTCAATCGATGGTTCTTCTTCATCATCATAAAGTCGATCTGAAGTACCAATAGCTTGCTTGTTGGTTGAGTGACCCTCATTTAACATCTTTTTTTATCGCCTTTATTGTCACTTGATGAAATTTCAATAATTTTGTTGTCCTTAGTAAAATTTTTAAACTCATATGGTTTGGGAACTAATTTGCATGTTGTGCATTTTAACATCTGTTAGGAGAGTTAAAAAGGCATAGGATTTAATCAACCACACAAATTAAGAATATGTAATTACCAAAATAAATTAAGAATATATAATTTGGAACAAGAAAAAACAATTATCATCTTTTATAAGGTACTACTGCAAACTAACTTAAAATCATTCATTGGGTTTAAAATGTTTGGAAAGAATTCAAGAGGAAACAAAGAAACTGAAGGAATCTAAGAGAAAACAAAGAAACTGTGATTGCATTCAAGAGAAAACAAAGAAACTAAAGGAATCAACTTCCACCTTTCACTCCTTAAATTGAATTTAAGAGAAAACTAAGAAACTGTGTGTTTCGAATAGGAAGATAATGTCTAGGATGACAACTTTTAAGCAAGAAGACATGGAGAATACAGCTACGATATATTAATTATTGACATTATTAATCTCATCCTGAGAAAAGCAATGAGATCAATTTAGTGGTAGTGGTTTAACTATGACAGGACAATACTATAGTTAGATAAGATAGGGATTACGAATTAGCATGACTGTAGGGATTAATCTGAAATAATCTAAAATAACTTCCAAATAAAAAGAATTTCCTAAACTTGTCATGCAACATAATAGAGATAAAATAAAATTTTAATTTACCTCGATAGCTTTCTACTCCTCCTATCAATCTCAGACACCTGACAGCAACAATCATCAATACCAAAAATAAAGGTAAGCCATCAAACAAACAACTGAAGAATATGAATAAGAAATTACAAGAAGGTAATAAGAATAACCAATACCTGTACTTACAATTGGAAACAAAAACCTTCTTTTCTCCATCAAAATTGAAGCAGAACGTATTTATAGAATCACAAAATAATTGTTAGGGATTGGAAAGCTCTAGCAATTACTACCAATTATAGTAACGTACGATTCAGAGGGAAGGACATAGACATTGTCAATGGTTAAAAACAGAAAGAATTAAGTTGAGGAGATCGATCGTCAAAATAATTTGGAGAGAGATGGATAAGAGGGGCCGAGGAGAGAGCGATTAAGAATGGAATTAGAGAGAGCACAGTCATTGAGAAACGGAGGAAACTGAAGTGAGGAGGCCGGATGCTGATTTAATTTCGAGACGAAGAGAGGGAGAGAGGTAGGGGAGAGCACGGATAACGAAGGGAATAAAGGGATTTGGGCATTATTAAAGAGAGAGGGAGAGGTGCAGGGGAGAGAGTGGATGACGAAGGGAGGATAGAGAGTCGGGCGTTATGAAAAAGGATAAGAAAAAGGGGATAAAATATATATAGGATAAAATTAGAATTATAAAATTTGTAGAGGGCAAATTGGGTATGCAAAAGTTTTGACGTTTGCTCTCTCTTTTAAAAATAGTATAGATTGAACCAAACAGCACTTAAGGGCCTGTTTGTTTCGTAAAAAAATGTAGAATGTGGGGGAAAGTGAGGAAAAAAATTGATATAGGTGAATTTTGATATTTTCCTCCACTTTCAGATGTTTGGTTTGTCAAAGCTATAAAAGAAAGTGGGGGAGAAAATGAGTTGTCACCATTTTATTGGATGAGATGAGTAATTTTTGATGTTTTCCTCCACTTTCCTTATTTAGGTTCTTTTCTTGTGTTTGATTCATTCTTAAAACTAAGAAAATAGATGAGAGAAGATGAGTTGTCATTATATTATTGGATGATGTGACCCGTATTTAGGAAAATCAATTTCCTTATTTTTTTTTTTTAAGGAAAGTGATGGAAGGAAAATTTTAATAAGATGGGATGAGTTGTCACCATATTATTGGATGATGTGAGTAATTTTTAAAGATGGTAGAAAATAAAGAAAAATGAGGTGAGGTGAGTTGGGATGAGTTGATTGATGTGACACATTTTTTGTGTTTAGTTTATTTTTAAAAGTAAAAAATGAGATGAGATGAGATGAGTTGTCACCATATTATTGGTTGGTGTGGAAGATTTGTAAGGATAAAAAATGATAAAAGTAAAGAAAAATGATGAATGTGAAAAAAAAAATGGGTTTTGGGAAATAAAGGAAACCAACAAAACAGACCCTAAGTGGCGAGAACAGATTTCTGTTCATGTTAAGCGCAGAAAAAGATACCCGTCGTTTTAAAGATGTCATTTTACTTCCAGCGATTCCACTTGCTATACAATAAGTAAGTAACAAAAAAAGAGACGTGTTCCCTTTTATTAGTACAATTAGCACGTAAACCGTGTACCTTAATTTGTTTTATTTTGCTCGTCATCTATCTTGATTGCCATTAACAATTATTAAATTTGGAATACATGCTAAGGATATATTTTAACATCACACTGATAATTCTTTTCTATAATAATAAAGGGTACAACAAATATTTACACTCTAATCTTGAAGGGGAACATGAAAGGGTTTCAAATTGAATAAAAATGTAGAAATCATATGCAATACAAAGATCTAGAGAGAGAACGAACTCCGGAGAGCAACGTTGTTGGTAAGTAGGTGGTCCGAAATATAATTAAATGCTACCTCTTGGCTCTTGTGACACATGCACATAAGGTTCATTGTTATAATAGTAAGGAACTGATAGAAATCTCTAGGACACGAAAATTGAGAGACCGGATGATCATTTTATTAACAAACTCACAATCATAACCTGCAAAGTGATTTTGTGTTGGGAAAATTAAAGAGACACGCAACATGTCTGGATAATCCAAAAAAAAGATTTCGTTTTCCATCTTTAGAAAGGTAATAAAAAGACTTTAGTCTTGTTGAGAGAGAATGCGTAGGCTAGGGTTTGAGAGATGTAGAGGATGGCGGTTAGGATTTAGAAGATTGGGGAGAAAGGAGATGATGAGTCTGATACTACGTTATTGTAAAAATTCTAAAAAACTCTTATTAGCTCTCTTAAATTTTATATAGAAAAATATGATTCTAAGAAGCCACCTTAAATTGAATTTAAGGATGCTCCTCACAGTGTATGAATTTGGCTAATTCAATGGACGATCCTCTACATTCATCATGATCTAAATGTCTTAAAACATCTGCAAAAATAAAAATCATGATATTTGAATATTTCTAACATATATTTTTTATTGTCTTTTTGGTTGTGTTGTCATAAAACTATTAATTTTACTATCACTTGATGCATTAGTAAATACAAATTAATATGTCAAATTTTTTGTTTACATGTCATTTATATCATATAAATCAAAATGAACAGAGTGTATTAAGTAAATTGATTATGTATAATCTAATTTTAAAAATATATTTTTAAATTTAATTTAAGATGACTTCTTACAATCATATTTTTTTATACATAATGTTTAGATAAACAAAATAGCTTGTTGCTAACGCGACAACTCTACCAGCGAGACTAAACCCCGATTAAAAATATGTGAGAGAGAGAGAGAGAGTCGGCAACTTCTGTACCCATGTGAGAGAGAGAATCGGAAACTTCTGCACCCATGTGAGAGAGAGAGAGAGGGGGAGAGAGAGAATCGGAAACTTCTGTACCCATGTGATTGTCTAGGCCCTTTCCACATCACCTGCCACTCTAAGTCCAAGTACGTACCTAGCTCCTTCTTAAAGACCGTGCCCCTTTTATTTCTACAAAGTTAAATAACAGACACAGCACAATTTAATAAGGAGAAAATGTGTTAAGGTCAAAAAAAAAAAGTGATTGTGACTAATCTTTTTATATTATTTTTTGTGTGAGGAAGCCCCCAATACATAGAATCCCCAATACATAGAATAATTATGTTTAAGTCCCTATTTACTTTTCCAAACATAGAATGATTGTGTTTAAGTCCCTATTTACCTTTCTAACTCAGCACATAGAGAAACATTTACCAAAACCCAAAACTGCCCTTGACTCATTCCCCAAAAGAGTAAAGACTCTGAAGAGAAGCAGAGAAAGAGAGAAAGGAAGAGGGAAAGCATGAGCAAATGAAAACTAAACCCAACTCGTAACAGATCGACCGACACAGTCGACACGAGCTCCCAACCACCGTCACGATCCGATTCCGGCGCGGCAATACGCATCATCGTCCCTCTCCAATGCGGCGTCCAAGGCCAAGGCGGCCTCGTCCTCGGCACCTTGATCCCTTGCGCCCTCTTCTACTTCTTCCAACTCTACTTCAAAACTCGCTGCTCATCCTCTAACTCCGGTGATCTCTCTGACGCGGCCGCCACCGCCATCTTCTGACCCAGTCTCGGCCCCACCTCTCGCCATGTGGCTCTTTGGCGCCGGTGCACGTGTCAACACATGCCACTGTTGTTGCTAGGGGTAAAGATTATGCTTACTATGCTGCGATGAAGAGGTACGCTGAGGATCCGTACAAGGTAATTGGGTGGTAGCAGCAGTTGTTTTCTTTTGGTGCAAAGATTTGATTTGTATCGAGATTTTTAGGGTTTGTTTTTTTTGGTTTTAGAGCAGTTGTCGTTGGATCTGATTGGGGATTGGCTGCGGAGGGATTTGGAGGAGTCGTTGATGGATGAGAGGAAAGGGGGTTTGAGTATTGCAAGACTGACCATGTGTTAGCCTTTTGATGGGCTGATGAATTTGAAGATTGTAAGTATATAAATTAGCTATTTGATGAATAGATTAGTTGTTTTGTTTTTATGAATAGATTAGTTTTTTGTTTGTTTTGATGCGGTGATAAGAATTTTTTGATGGCTTAAGATATTAGTTGCCTTGTGTCCAAATTGGATTAGTTCCATATGGCGGCAGAATTTCTATGCAATTTTGCTAGCAAAGATTATTTTTTTTGAAGTTCTTATGAAATCTATGTGAATTTATTGGGGTGTGTTTGGATTAGGGTAATTGGAGTTCTATATTGTTTCAAAGTATGTCTAAATGTCAACATAATTGTTTAGTTGGATGATGTTACTACATCAAAAGATTATTGTGCAAAAGCAAAGTAGATGAAACATAGGGTAGCTGCTGCGGCGTAAAAAGTGTTTTAACAACAGGAGGTTTAACTGCATGTTATAATTATTATTTGTTGTTAGCTATTAGCAATGCATGTCAACAATTCTCGTTTGTTAGTATTTAATATTTTTATTTTATCCCCAGAATGTTTGGAGAAAGTACAGATATGAAGCCGTCTCTTGCGAGCAACAGTCTGAAATGTTAGTATTTCACAAATTTAATCTTTTCATTTTATCCAATATTATATATCTAACTATCTTACTACTTTATATAATACAGTTTTAATTGTGAAATTTCCGTTCCCTTATATATGAAGGCTATAGTCGGTGGTCTTGATACACTTCAAGTAACTACTCCCGACGATGAATCTGATGTCATACGTGCCAAGCTTGCAGCTGAACTTTTAGTAGAAGGATGAGATAAGAAGAATCAAGAAGAGATATTAGATAAGGATCAAAAAAAGTTGTTCTAAAAATTGATTGATTGAACTAAAACTTGTGTGCATGTCTGTATTGTGTATATTAATTTAATTATGTAAACAGTTGATATGGATGACAAATATTGTAGCAAGCTTGACCTTTATTGTTCTTATTGTATTTCTGGTATTTTTGCCACCATATGTTTACGTTTTGTTTTGATACAACATATATTTAACAGGTTCAAATGAAAAGCTACATGTTTACTTGAATGTCAATAGGAAAAGCCAATACTTAACATGTACATTTGATAAGTTAACATATTCAGTTGCATGTTATCATGTTATAAAGAAAGCTGACATGTAACAGTAAAAATTAACACATTTTGCTGAAAGTTAACATATTCAGCTGATAGTTAGCGTGTAGAGATGAAATATAACATGTTCGTAAGAAAGTTAACATATGCAGATGAAAGTTAACATATACAGCTGATAGTTAACATGTTCACATGAACGTTAGCATATACACCTGAAAGTTAACATATACACCTGAAAGTTAACATATACAAATGAGAGTTAATATGTTCACGTGAAAGTTAACATGTTCAGGTTAAAGTCAAGATTTTTAGTGTAAATTTAATATCTTCAGCTGAAAGTTAATATCTTCACTTTAAAGTAAAGAATTTTAAAGTCAATGTGTACAGTTGAAAGCTAACATGTTTATCTCAAAGTTAACATAGTCAAATGAAAGTTAACATGTTTAGCTGAAAGTTATCCAGCTGAAAATAGTTTTAGCACCAAGATATTTTATAGGAAATACAAATAGTATACCCCAGCTAAACAAGTACATTACACAAACTTCTTACATTCTTATAGCTAATATTGCTTGAGTATACAATAGCATTTTCATAGCAACATAT